TATATATATATATATATATATAGAGAGAGAGAGAGAGAGAGAGAGACTTAGATTTAAATGAGAACTAAAATTATTGTGAGTAAAGTGAGAATAAATTATAGCTAATGGAAGTTAATCTTCAACTAAACCGCTTTGAAATTTTCACCTACGATAGCTTCCCATTTTATAGGCAAGGAGAACCATATACCTTCAAACTTTCCTTATGATAACAAATTAAGGAAAACATCCGCTACCACCGAGCTACCAAAATCCAACAACACATTCATGCTGCTTAGATACTTAATTGAGTAATTTGATAAGCCAAAAGATTGAATTCCGAAAAGAATTTAGTTAGTAGCTTAATATCTTTAACACCCCCCTCCTCCCTCTATGCAACAATGAAACCACTTTGTTCAACACATATTTAATTCAAGTGTAATAATTGATTTATCAAAGGAATTTCCCTTTCTATGATTTCCTGTTAGAGTATTAGAGCGTCAACGAATGATCGTTTTGCGTTCTGACAAATGTCTAATTTCTTCCGTCCTTTGCAAAACCCTTCATAATATTTTGTTTCATCCGATTCCCCTCGTACGATACACCAGTCATTTGGGCAGCAACCACCTATTTCTGCTTGATAAATCTCACCACTTGTACCTTTAGCTTATGTCCTATCGATAATCCATTAAGAGTCTTTCCTTATGCATGTTGCTATCCATCTTTATGAATCTTGCAAATGCGAAATTAGCTCGTGTTGAGATGATCCTGGTTGCTACCTCTCCAATCCATATTCATCGTACTCCTTCTCTGTTCCACTTTTGTTCATCCATCCGCTTCAGGTTTTCCGAAAATCCCCTAACGACTCTTCCTCCCCCAATTACAAAAAATGAATGAAAGTTTGTTTAAATTATGATAAGTATAATTTAAAATGTTATTTAAAAGTTTTCTAAACATTTTTAATCGTTTGCGGAGGTCCTAAAACATAGAGACTTATAATAAATCAAAGTAGGTTGTTTAAAGAATATACAAGGATTATTACAATCAACAAATGAGATTAAGTAATAATCACAGTCTAGATCATTTTAAACACCAAATTTTTTTTTTTGAGTATCCAAGCTATCAACAATGGGATTGTATCCCAACAATATCATGTGTTGGTGGCAAGGTGCTCCTTCGTCATAAGTTAGGTGTTCAAGACTCACGGAAGACAAAAAAAAAAGTTTAGAAGGAACTAGATGCATTATAATCCATTTACATATTTTATCCTTAATACATGCAGAATTAATATACATAAACAACTTTAACACAAATTAAGTTTTACCACCTTGTATCAATCCATCCCCATAGCACCAAATCTTGAAATTGAGGTTAAGGAAATGATTTATTCAACATTTGGTCTCTAATTCCCACATACGATTGTTGTTTCTTCAAAGAATTGATCCCAATAGCTCTATGGAATCAAAATTCGCACATCTAACCCCACAGAACTTCTAAACTAAAAATATGTAATGGAATGAATTCTCATCACAGAAGGGAGTAGTAAAAGAAGGTCATGATCGGCCAAACATGTTCTTATACATTGTCAATTTTAAGTTACCTCATGGTACTCCTATCCAATACATTGCATGCATCTAAGTTTTGTACACATTTGTACAATTAACTAAAGGTTTATGTTCATCCTCTTATGCATGCATTTACTTCGTCAAATCCCTCATTAAGTTCATTGGATTTATACTTCTTTTAGAAGTTTCATACGTAGTTAAGTTCATTGGATTTATACTTGGGTTATTAACTGGGTATACCCGAATAACCGAATTCTTGGTATGTCACACCAAACATACTGTATCTTGTGTTTACAGCCTTCCATTTCTAGCACAATATAAATATACATGTACTTACACTTAATACAATCACTAGACAACTATTCCAATATTCTTACATGGTCTCATAATCCAAAAAGAACACATCATCACATCATAAAATCATATCAATATGTCTTTGTGGATCTCGCAAGATTTCAAAAAGCAATGTTGTTGTTTTATTAATAGTCAAACAAACGAATGATCGTGCTGAAGAGTTTAATGAATAAAACTCATTTGTACCTTTGACTTTAGCTATGCTATGGAATAAATAATGATTCTAAGGTATCTATATACGTTATTGTGCAAGTGTGTTAAAAAGGACGGCAAGACTTTAAGTAGGGAAACATGTAGCATCTCTCCTATACTACCTAGGACACTAACTATAAGTCTTATTCCTTATATAGATATAAGTTCTATTATTTTAATTGTATAAAACTACATTTATAAAAGGGGTTGGCTAAAAATACATCCCATTTTACATACTAATAAAGAAAGTAGAAAAAAACAAAGAAATTTTCAAATTTCTCAACTAATAATCATATTACAAAAAATTATTAATTTTATGTAAATGGTTATTGCAATTTTTAAAAGTTCGATGTCAATATTATTAAGATTGAGATCATATCTATTATTGTACCTATTGTAAAATTGTAATCCTAAGATTGGACTGGAATCCAAAGATCCCCCCTTGATAAATTAGTCTCCAAATTTGATTGCAAGTTCTTGTTTGTGTAGTTCTATTGTATTGTATTTTGATGTTGATTAAGAAATCCGTGGTGGAATCACTTTAACTCCTTAAGTAATAACCATAATCTTTGAGTTGAATGGAAGAACTGTGATGTAAATTTTCAAGATGAATGAACAATGTTTCTAATTTGTATATGAGATTTTGAGCATGAATGACTAATTTGATAAGTCTAGAAAGACTAAATACTTGAGTATAAAATAAAAACTGAAATGTAGTGTCGGATCCGAATAAATTCTTACGGGTCTAGATATAAATCTTCTTTTAAAATCAAAATTAATATGATCAAGATATATTATGTAGTATATTTTTTGCTTTTAACAAACATGGTTAAAAGGAAAACATAATTATTTTCAATTTATATATAAACTAAATAAATATAAAATACTTATTTTCAAATATTTTTAAACAGTACGTTGCCCTTTGAGAAATCCGGCAGGCGCCATGCTTTATTGGAAATGAAAAAGGGCAGAATGGAGACCGCATGTTCACGGAATGGGGCGGTGAAACCGCACTTACTACACACCCCTCTTTCATTTCAACCGATAAATCAATAAGTTTACCAAATAAAAATACTTTTATTATTGTCAACTTGATAACTCTTTATTTTATTACAGCAAGATAAATCGAATATTTATTTTCTATACTTAATTCGGTTTATATATAATATTAAATAAATCAGAAAAATGTGAAAACTAGTGTTTTGGTCGCATGGAACAATTTATACGTAGCCCCACTAGCGCCCTTCCATTTAGCATCCTTATCCTCGGAATTTAACGTGCAGCCTTGCATCGTCCAATTCGGACATCTTCACGTTGACCAAAATCAACACGCTTTTTTTAGACTCGAAGATGCCACCGCCCATTTTTATTTATTTTTATAAGTTAACTTTAGACCATTTTATTATATAATATCTACAGCTAGACCCCTCTAGTTCTATAATAGACAACTTCAGTCTGTATGATAACACTGACAACATTTACATTGTAATAACACTAGACCCGACAATTTAATACACTACACGACTGACACGACACAAATATGACACGAGTTTTTCTGTGTATGAGTTTTAGAAATCCACATTTGGTGTCTATTTGTATCGAATGAATTCTAAATTTGTGTTTCATGTCTTACACATGTCAAACATAAACTTACCTGCTTAACATGTGTATGACACGAATTAAATTCGTGTGGCACACGACACATCTAAACACGTTTATACACATATAGACACACAACATGCGACACATATACATACTAATTAAATGCATATTTTCCTAGCGTAAAAAATGACATTAGACAATGCTTGTATACATTAATGAAAAACATGTTTATTCGTGTCGTATTACGTGTCACGTAAATTAATTATGTGTTGCTTTCGTATTTGATAAACAAACGTGTTTTATAATTTGTGTCATATTCGTGTCATGTAAATTCGTGTCTGTCAGGTATACAAGCACGTAAACAAGAATTGTTATCTCTAAATATCACCAAATTCATAGGGTTGCAATGTAGATCTAAACATAGTATATGTGTTGAACCATAAGCATATTGGCTAATGAACACTTTTTCAATACTTCTGATACTATTATGTCACCGACTATTTTATATTGTGGTACATATATGCGAACTAGATAGATTTCTATTAATATTAGGAAAATGCAGTTGTAGAGTTTACAAGTATGATATAAGAAAAAAACAGATCGAGCCTAATATAAAAAACACGTCAACCCAATAAATTGTTCATACCCTCTCCATAAGACCATAACCTCTATAGTCTAGTCTTCTCAAACACCCATGTAGAAGTTCCCCTTCTGGACCCTTTATGGAATCTCCTTATGTGAAATTTTCTTTTTCTAATTTGTAAATAATTTTCTAAAATTAACTCTTTAACAAGATTTCATTACTAAGTTTCAACAACGATAATTAGGTCTAGAAGCAAATTTGACTCCACAACTTAAAGCACACCACTTTAACCAACTTGTTCAATTTACGAATTTTTCTTACAAAAGAAAAGCTTATTTTAAGGATAGTGAGGTCATTTTTTTAAAGCCTTATAGATTTATTAATTAACACCAACATAATCAGGGTCTTGCATGACTATCTTCAGAAATAGAATGCATTTAGTGCGGTGTGGGTATAAGTTGAGGGGCCTAAATGTAAATATCGATATTGCCCATACCTAATAAGCAAACGGCAGAGCCCGTATTTTGAGCTGTTGGCAGCATTCATACCAAATAAAATGGCCCCCACCAAATATAGAAATGGATAACGCCGAATCTTCACGTTGTCCACTACGAAGTACAACCATAAATACATACAGTGTACATGTCTCTATAGTCAGGCATATCCCACTTGTACCCTTATCCTTTTATCCCTTTAAATTCATTATCCTCGTCTTTCCAACTTTCCTCATAAGCGAAGAAAAGGATTAAGCTGTGTTCATACTCTATACCATACCAAAAACCTCACCTTTATTTCCCAATTTCAAAAGCTGCACAGTTGATTGATTAGAAAGATTTGAGATTATAAAACTGAGATAAGTTGAGATAATGATGATGCAGATGGAGATGAGTTCTTCTACTACCTTAGATCAAGAAAAGAAGATCGGGATCATGGGTTATGAAAATCAAGAAGAAGATGATTCGTTCTCCTCTGATGCTTCGAGTATGGTATCATCAGATGATGAATCCGATGATGCATTTGAAGAAAGCAATTCATCTTCCGGTAGCTCTCCGTCGTCTAACGACGATCATCGGAGTGGCTTGGGAGATATGTCTGATCTTCTTCACCAACTTCCCTCCAAGTGAGTTATTCTTAATCACTTACAGTTTAGAAGCTGTTTATCTGATTCCGAATACATAGATCTTAAGATCTAGAACTTGTTCTTATATTTATGTTTGATGAATTAACAGGAGAGGGTTGTCAAAGCACTTTCAAGGGAAGTCACAATCTTTCACATCGTTGGCAAACGTGATGTGTTTAGAAGATCTTGCGAAGCCAGAAAACCCTTACAACAAGAAGCTGAAATCATGCAAAAGCTATGTCGGATTATCCAAAGTGCTTCCACCTCCGACAAGAAGTGCTTCTTCCTCGAAGCTTTTCAACAACAAGCCATCGTCAAGAACTTCATGTTCTTCACTAAGTATAGGAAGAAATGGTAGCTTCCTTGGATTAAGCAACACCAGTAGGCCACCTAGTCATCCATCTCATAACAATGGTGCCACGAGTGCTTTTTAGCTATTCGAATCGAACCCGTTTGTTCGTTTGAGGCAATCATGCTCAAGTTGATCGATCTTTCCAGGGATCCTCCGCTTTTTGGATGTTCTAGTCTCGTGAGGGAAATTTCTTTCCTTCGCATTTTGCATGAGATTGTTGTCATGACCCGTACTTTCGTGTATTTGAGTTGCAATACAATCACTGTGTATATACTAATGGATTTGTTCAAGGGAATTGATTTATGTTTGTGGGTGTATCCAGATACTATAATCTTAATTAGAAGATACTACACATCGTTTTTAGTCCTTTTATTTCGATAAAGCTGCAAATTGGTCTTTCGTAGATCTATGGGATGTTATGTTAGGCCTTCCATGTGGATATATGAAGGCCGAATATATATATATAATTTTCAAATAATCAATCTATAGCAAGACTCATTAATACTCATAAACCTGCAATCCAAATCAAAATTACACTAAACTACCATTATGGGTACCATTATGGGACAAGAGTATAAAAGGGCGCAAAATCATCCATGTGACATATGACTCAACAAAAAGTGAAATTAGAACCATCCCGGATTATCCAAATAACATCAACAAAACCACATTTAACTCTTGCACATAATGTTAATAACATATGTGTGATTTGATCACCATTATAAGATAAATATGATTTGGTTTCATACATGACAGGTTGCTGTAGCTCCAATGTATAAGTTTACTCGTGGTAAAAGCTTTGATGATGCAGAACCATATTTTGGGAATATCAAACAACTTAGTAAAGCTCGAGGTTTACGTAATAACAACCTTTTGAAAAGTTTTGATCAAGAAAACGAGAAGGCAGACACTGTTGTAAAGATCAAAGTTGTGGTATGTCAATCTAATATCAATAGTTAATTGAGAATCATTTCTGTCCAATTCTGATATTATCTAAATAGTTGATTCCTTGAAGTTAATATAAAACACCAGTTGTTGCTAAAAAGAGTATAATGGGGATGAAATTCCAGCCGGGCAAGAGACCCTTGAACAAAAAATAGTTAGCAAAAAATGAGGAATATATCGTCACCACAGATACCCATTCAAATTTCCTTACAAAAAATGAAGAATATATCGTCACCACAGATACCCATTCAAATTTCCTTACAGTTCATGAAAAAAACTCAAGGTTAGCAGCTGAATAATATTATACTTTTTTTAGTAGCATTTAATTTCATTTTTTTTTCTATACAGGTTCATCTGACATAATACATGGAGAAGCATGAATTTATTTTTGATGCACTTAAAAATGAAGAAGTTTCTAATGATGATGTTAGTACATTATATAAAGATCAATTTTTTAAGTGCACATGGATATGCATTTGTATAAGTGCATATCTATATGTTCATGCATATGCATATGGATATATAGATATGCATATTTATATGTTCATGTATATGCATATACTTAATCATATGCATATACATACACTTATTCTTATGTATATGCATATACTTACTTATATGCATGTACATATACTTATTAATATGCATTTGCATATACTTATTCTTATTCTTATGCATATCCATATGTATACACTTATTCATACACATATGTATACACTTATTCATATGCATACGCATATATATATATATATATATATATATATATATATATATATATATATATATATATATAATATGCATATTGTACAATCCCAAAAATCAAGGGTAAAAATTTCATTTTATTATAATAAAAACACTATTTTAACTTTGTCCAAACATTGAAAAATAATTTCAAATAAAACGATTATCAGAGTTCATTCCCAAAGATCACATATTGCGGAAACCACGGGTGTATGCGCTGTGATCGTCCCGAGCTCTTTCATTTGAAAACTGGAGTACCTGAAACATAAACTGAAAATTGTAAGCACAAAGCTTAGTGAGTTCCCCAAATACCACATACCATACATATCAAACGAACCATACTTGCCATACATAACCGTGAGCTATACATATCATTCATATACCATAATCCATAAGAGTGCTATGTGTCAACCATAGTCTTGCCATTATGCCACGAGCCGCCTCGTGGTCTTCCTTGCCAGGCCGGGAGCCAAAACCCTGGGTCTTACAAACAAGTGCCAGGATCCACTTCCTGGTCTTCCATGCAAGCATCACAAAGAAAACTAGCATATAATCTACAGCTACATAACTAATAATTGCCAGAGTTCAGGCTCTGGTCTTGCATACAGGTTGCCAGGAGTCGCCTCCTGGTCTTTCATACATAATGCTCAGGGCTAACCCCTGGGTCTTCCTACAATACATAAACCAAATGGGCAAGAATTGGTTCCTTCGGCCCATAGAACAGTGAGGAGACTCACCTCGAATGCAGAAGCTCATTAAAAGAATTCCCTAACTGCTGCCCTGACGACACCTCCGAACTATCAGATCAAAATAACACCCAATTAGCAATTGAATTCCATCCCAAGGCCCACCAAGCATACTTTGGGGTAAAATGACCATTTTACCCCTGACCCAACATGAACCAAAACTGAGGCCCAATTCCAATAACCAAAAAGCCCCAAAAACAAAAGATCCACAAAGGCCCACTAATGGCCCAATTTTCCAAATTGAGCCCAATCCCATATGGGCCTTATCCTAAGCCCATAATTCCCTTAGTTCCAACTTAGATTACCTCAAGCACCCCCTAGGACAAACTTGGTCAAAGACATAAACCAAAAGACAAGATCCAAAATCCATATCGACCCAACTCGTCGAGTTGACCCACATCAACTCAGAAACGGGGTAAACCAAAACAACTCGTCGAGTTGACCTACAAACTCGCTGAGTTCGCCCAAGACCCAACAACTTAATGCATTAAGCTGCCTTCATCGAATCCAAGAGCTCCAAAGCTCAGATCTCGACCAAAATGAGATCAATAAGGGTAAAGTTTTCAACTTTACCCCTAGGAACCACCTAAATGGGTCCAAAACCAAACCCTAGACTTGAAAGAGTGAGGGCTTAACCATTAAGCACTTAATCATCAAAGATAATACCCCAAAATACAGATCTGGCCCCATAAGGCTAGATGGCCGCGTAAAGTTTACATATTTACGCCTAAGCATGACTAGAAGGAGCTCAAAAGCTCAAAAAGGGATAAATGAAAGACTTAATGAATGCATGAAGCCCTTAAACCCATAAAGTTGGCACCTTTATGCCAAAAAAGATCATGAAGATCATAGATCTGAAAGAATAAACACTTTGGACTTCTACTTCCCCAACAACCACCCATCCATGGCTAAAAGCATACAATCTAACCCAAGAAGAGATCTAAGAAAATAATAAGCAATATTAGAACTTTATACCCGAAATGTGTTGGAAATGGAGCAGAGAATCAAGATCTGAAAGCTCCTACTTGAACCACCACCTAACACCAAGCTTCTCTTCCTTCAATGAGCTTCAAACACACCAAAACACACCCACAATGAGCTCACAACACTCAAGGAGGCTCTAGGGTTTCGAGATTAGGGTTAGGGGCTATGGAGGTTGGGAATGAGGCCAACACCTGGGACTTAAGGTGTTTAAATAGGATGCAAAACGCTAAAATTAGGGTTTCTCAGTCAACGTCCAACTCGTCGAGTTCCCTTCACCAACTCGCCGAGTTGGTCCATAAAAACGTGCGACCCAAAAGCCTCAACTCGTCGAGTTTCCCACTATCAACTCGTTGAGTTGGTCCCTACGAAAGGGAATTTATTTCCATAATTAATCTTCTAGATTTTGGGTGTTACAACTCTCCCCCACTTACATTAGATTTCATCCTCGAAATCGCTCCTTATTAACACTCATATCAAAACGAACAACCTGAGGAACATAATCGGAAATTCTGCGCATAAGACAATCTTCCCAAGACACCCGAAACCCAAACCAAAACTTCCATCCCGAAGATAACAATCACACCTTTAGCCCTACAAACCACTTCTACCTTTTTGATACCTGGAATCTATAATGGTCCGACTCCCCGACATACCGCCCACGCTGAAACAACTCCATGCTAAACCCTCAACGAATAACAGACCAATCATAACACTTCCAACCTTTATCATACAACGGCCTTTCCAAACCTACTGAAACCATCCTTAGAATTGTTCTTCAACCCCAATGAAGAACGAATCCTCAATCTCTAGAATAAATCCAATCCTACCTCACCTGAAATTCGAAACCTAAAGTCTCAATGGTCTGACTCACTATCAGACTTCACACACCGAACCGCCACCATGCCAACCATATAGAGTTTCGCACCAAACAACATGCTTCCAACCCCCAATCATATTGCTGCTTCAAAGGGAACAAAGTTTTGGATAAGGTGTCTAAGTCCATAACTATATTCGGTATGTACTTAACCCGATTTAGCATGGTCCATTTGGGTTACACTTCACCGGAACAATTTGGACTTTGAGAAGAGGATATGTATGATTTATTAATATATTATTAGTAATAATATATTAATATGAAATCATATTATTTAATTGGTATTGATCAACAATTAATTTGGAATTAATTTTGTGGTCAAAAGAAACTAATTAAATATATAGGGATTGATTGTGTAAATCATTCATTCTTATAATGTGGGCTAGTGATCCATGATTCCTTATGATGGGCTTAACCCATGTGGTGACCCATGGGTGCTCCATGGAGGTTAAAACCCATGGATCATAAGGGATGTGGAAAGTCATGAGTTACATGGTGTAACCCTAATGTGCACACTATATAAGAAGCCCTTTGGTTCAAGAAAAATGCACCCTAGTGATTTTATAAGGAGAGGCCGATTTGTGAGCATTGTAGTTCTCTTCCAAGTTTCTAAAGTGTTGGTGGTGATTTGTGATTCCACTTGAGGCATTCACATTATTGGTGCTAAGCTCTTAAAGCTCCAAGAAATTAGCCACAACAAAAGGTATGTTTGCTAACTTGTTTTATTCTCTATGTATCAAAGTTTTGTATGCTAGTTAGGGTAATACCTTGGAAACTTCAAGTTTTCATGTATAATAGTGAAAACATAGATCCAAGATATTTAGGGTTGCATGAACACCATATGAGTTTTAGTATGCTCAAGTCCCTTCAGTGGTATCAGAGCCTATACTTGCTTTCAATTATACTTGATGCTACTTGCTGTTTTAAGTTGGAAAAATCAAGTTTTTTGCTTCCTGACTGATGAACTCGCCGAGTCCACTGCTGGACTCGACGAGTCCATGTACAAATTGAGCTACTCGACGAGTCCAATTCATGGACTCGCCGAG